TATGGCCTGTTGATTAGCACATGACAAAATCGCCAATCAGAACACCAACTTATACGACCTTGGCACTGTGCCAAACCAATGACACGTTAGCTAGGACGAGCAGCCTAGAGTTAACTCTAAGTCTTTATTGATTCTTCTCGTCTAGCCTTGTCCGTTCGAGTCCAGAACACAAATCTCAGTTTCCTCTGTATGAATCATATGTTTCAGACATACTTGGTTTACATACAAGCAAACCAGACAGCACTATACCATAAGACAGAAAATAACAATTGTACAAGATCAAGTCAAAAGTGGCTATGAGTGTGAGAGACTGTAACTAACAGATTGGAAATAAATTAGAAATAGTAAATCCTATAATAGTAGTCAATAAGTCAGACGGAAGTTCTTAATATCAGGAATATGAATATACATATACCATATTTGCTAAATAGTTATCCAACAGGAATATATGTAGAAATAGTCCATGAAAAATTCCTAGCAGTTACTATTCATTTATTATTCGTTAGGATATAATGAATTTTAATTATATTTTAAGGCAAAATATTTTTAGAGAAATTCCAGTTCTAATTTTCTTAATATCAAACTGTCAGATTTTGCATCAAGTGGAGTAACTTGGTGATTATAAAATAATCCAGCTTTGGAATCCGTTGATGAAAATAAAAAATCTTTGGTTGATAGGTTTCTAAATGTAATTTCGAACTGTAAATAGTTCTGTCCGTTGATCTACTGGCTCACTGTTCTGTTATTCAATGGTCATCATTTTTTACTTTAATGTTTTCAGTATAACATGACAATCACCCAGTTCCGTCGATAGTAAGCATGTTAATCCAGAAATCACAACTTTTTTTAAAACCTTGTGGACTCATCTCAAAGCAAATCAGTAGTGAGCGTTTGCTTATATTTCTTGGCTGCAAGGCTTTTTGCGGGTACTCCATGTTGAAAAAACTCATACTAAGACGGAACAGCTGTGCAGTACTACCTAGTTGTCTGTCACCACAATTGATATCATTCCCCCAATAAGAAGTACTTAAATATGCAATCTAACTTGATTAAAATTCTCAATTCGTTACACTGGTCCAACCGGTGTGCATGGAAAAGTAAATAAAGATACTGGAGATAGTTTCGTTCATTCATGTAAACAATTTTTACGAAATCTGCATACTACTTATGAAGCTATATTCTTTCCATTACAATTATTCGTCGTATAGACCTAAACCAATTTTAAGAATCACAACCTGAAAGATGAAAGGGATTCGTAACGAGTACGTCTCCATTAAATAATTAAATACTAAATTCTTTCCCTGTCGTAATTCATGTTATTCATAACTATTCCGCTTGTACTTTTTGTGCTTAGCAGTGGCTTGGTTCTCATAAAGTTGGACGGAAATGGCGAGGTGGTTTAAAGGATGCACTTAATTTAGTTGGATTACACTTTGAAGGTCGGCCACACAGAGGAATTGATGATGCCAAGAATACAGCTCGACTACTTTTTCACCTACTTTCAAAAAATGTTCTCAATTTGGCGACTTCATGAAAGAGTTCTTTTGTAGATAACTTTACAAACACAAATATATTTTTGATACTCTGCCAATAATTCCTGCCAATTACGGAGTAGTAATTTGATAAAGTGAAATTTATAAACTAATATTATACGCAGATAAACAATCTTCTGAGAATTTGCTGTCCGGTTTAAGAAACATTTTCCAGATTCAACTTGCACTTTTGGGTAAAATAAAATAATTACTGATATTTTTATTTCAAACAATCTTATGAACTTAGTACTGTATACTGTATTTCATATAAAAATAACTGATTTTTCCCTTCCATTTAAAAATTAAAATCACAGATATATGGTGTGTTTTACGATATTGAATTTGTAGCGGTATCGGTTCTCAGCCACACAATCCTTGAGGTCGGCATTCGGCAAGTGAGAATATCTACACTAAACACTGAAGAAGTTCAAATGTAGTGAGCACTAGAGGACAGATCCAGGACAGGATGGCTCGGCCATACAGGCAAGATTACTGTGTAACTTAGACCTTCATATCCTATCCCCACTTCAAGCATGTCCTCCGAAAATGCTAAACATGTTGCCGATTGTCACTACAAAGCAAGGTTTTTTAAACAAGAGTCTGACTTCGACGTGAGGTCTGGTATGCTAGATAGTTACGTCATGTCACGTTCACAATCCCGGAACGGGATTATTATTGTAGTAGCAAAGATAAGTGCCCTAGTACCGACCTGGATATTAGTTTCACAGATCAATGTGGGGATACTGACATTTACTGGAGTACTTTTACACCTCAGTGACATGGTTTCTATCGAGTCTGATATTTATATCAACAGGTAATCTTAACCTAGAAAAACAGTCTAAAACCTCAGATAAACTTCCTTCCAGAAAGTGCATACCTCCGAACTTCAAAAAGAATGTCTACACTCCTAAGGGCATTCCAAGTACATCCATAGGTTACAGTTGCGAACCACAATCTGACGACTTGTGAATTAAGGTAATTTCTAAGAGAGTTTGCCTAGCGATAGTTTACCTGTCTGAAATGGCGAATGGTTTAAGACGATCCCTACCAGGTATACTGATTCAAGGTCAGTGAAATGTCGATGGGCCCCATCGAAATTATCCGGCAGTCGAGTTACTGGATATCGAGTATTTCACCGATCCTCTCCAGGGCCAAGGGCAACCAGAGCGCGTCAATTAATCGCATGCCATGGACTGGCCCAAGTAGCAGTGTTCGCACTCTGCTCCTTGTACCTACTCCTACTAGTATATCTCTGTTACAACATCGGTTGTCAAAGCAGACATAGGCTCTGAATACGATGAAGGAGTAATCCTCGTCAGGTGCTGACCGTGAGGTGCTTAAATTTTGTTCTTCCTTACCCCTTGATTAGTACGTTAACCTCATTTGTTATTTATTGTCGAATCCATTTTTTTGTGATACAACCCTTTCTATCCTTCTATAGACATACATTTTCCATATAACTATATATACGAATGTACAGCTTAAGTAAATGATTTCGTCGAAAAGAAAATTTTCTTCGCTGAATTCTCTTTTTCTTATTCAAACCAGAAGACTTTAGTTGTGTCTTACTGCGGCGAACTGAGGGAACAGATAGCAGAGATCGTCCGCTACAACTTTCAATATCAGTCTACTGAAGCTGAAAAACTACTATGTGACTGTCAAACTTATGTAACCCTACATCCGGACCATGTCATGACTATTTAACTCCATAAATTCTCTGGAGAACAAACGGAATTTTACGAGGTAAACTATTTCGTCAAAAGCAGTTAATGTAATGGGATTACACTGCGTCATATGTCGGAACTCTGGTAACTAGTTTTTAGGAACTTGACGGAGTTCCATAGACCACTTAATATTGAGTGAACAGCCTCATAAGATAAGTCTGATCAATAATTTAGTCAGCGCTCAGTGGTAATTCATTGACAACCTTCTGGTACGGATACCCTCAAAACTTGCCAAAATTCCGACAGAAGTAGACAGTATTCCTGTCATTATTGCAGAGATTTCGTAGAAGACTGACATCCATCTGGAAAAATGTTTTAGAATATTACGCCAGTATAAACAAAGGTAGCATTTCTCAGTAACGTTAACCAAAATATTAAATGATGACTATTGCTTGATGCATTGGTGGCCATTGTTTTGTCCCATTTTGATCATTCTTTTGTTACTGGAATTCATTCTTAATCATCAGTTTTTGGATTATCATAGCAGTACGAGAACATTGATCTAGAGCATTGTCATATTGATGTCTTTCCAAACTGTCAAACCATCTGTACATATGACTGATGATTATGTCAACCTTTCCATAATTCATTAACGTAGAAAAGGAAAGTCGGGGGACCTTATATAGTATGTCGTGGCACGCTAACTTTTGAGATGGTGGAGAAGATTTGTAGCTCAGGTGGATGATTTTGGTGTTTTGTTCTCTGAGCTGGAAGTTTGTGCTGATGTTGTTCGGAAGAACGATGAAAGCTCCACGACCAAACCATTCAGCTCAGAGAACGAAACCCCACCAACGCTAACTTTTACAGGTTTCCATCTGAACAGAGTTACCTTCACTTCATAACAGTTTTATCACACAAATGATACCTATAAATCAGTTGCATTTTGCCTGTTATTCTGAAACCAAATAACTCTTCCGTAATTCATAAGTGCAGCGTCTTATAAAAAATCTCGCTGAAATATAGGACTACTACCTCGACAGTCAGACTATAAACTTCGGCTTCAAGTCACTTCTCACACAATCAGTAAATACAAATAATAAGGTTGCTTCGTACGTAATCCATGTTGTTCCACAGCTAAACGGTTTTTCGGTACTACACAACTAGATGACTTGTCTTACATTATGCTTTCTTGTGTATCATCAACCTAGACTCAAATCTAAGCCTTACGAAGAACGCCTCCGTTCACTAGACCTTTACCCACTAGAATATAGGCGTCTTAGAGGTGATTTACTAATGGCTTACAGTATTCTTAACACTTCTGGACATCCTCTTAAACACCTACTTAAGCTTAGTTCGAATAATAACCTTAGGGGTAACACCCAGAAACTGGAAACACAACATAGCAAGACGGAATGTAGACACAACTTCTACTCCTTAAGAGTTGTCAAAAGCTGGAATTCGCTGCCGGCCGAGCTAGTCCAAGCGACCTCTCAGGAGTCCTTCAAGAGGCAACTTGACCTATTCTTAAGGACCAAGGACAGCATCACATTATGATTTACCAATCTCTTTTCCTCTTTTATTGTTAACATACCTAGGTTCCTGCCTGGAGGATTTGGTGATCCCCTGCTACTAGACACGGAAGCCTGTTAAGCGAAAGCTTCTTCTATTCCGTCCACAACCATTTGAACCATTTGAATCCTAGTCAAACTAACTGACCAGTAGTTAGACATGAGATCTCTATTTGCATTCCTAAAAATAAAGACAGCAACATCACCTTTTTATTTTAACGTGAGAGCTTTGTTATGAGTTGCCTGAGCTGTGTCTTCTTGAAAACTATGCAATACAATTTTCTGTGCTTTTAGTTTAAATTTACTAATGCTGTTTATTTAGAGCAGCGACTATTCAATATGCTTCCCGATGATGGAAAATAAACGTTTGTTTTCGTGCACAGTATTTTTCACCACATTCGGATTTTGTTCGAACTTCATCTCATTTGTATCACCTTACTGGATTCAGTCAATTCCGGAAGCTAACAGCCAGTTCCAAAGAATAGGTCTTTGGACTGTTTGTTTTGATGGATATATGCGGCCGGCGTTGTATGACAAGGCATATTTCGGATGTTACTACATTTATTATGTGATATATGACCGTATAAGAGATTGGTTAAATCCAAGTAGGTGCTGTGTGCTCCATCATGTATTTTGTTCTCAAATAGACAAGTATACTTATACCATTTGAACCATTTGAACCTGTCTACTATAGTAGACTCCTTGATGACTAAAGCCATCGATGACTACTCGAGTAAGATGATTTTATCACAAGCACCCTTCTCATATCGTAGTAGATGTTATCAAGTGTAAATGATCATTATTGGAAGAGGCCCAACTTTTCTATCTATTTCAATCTTCAGTAGCCGAAGCAGGGGGCGGTCAATAGACCTATATTAATCCTTAAAATTTGTTGTGCTGTGAAGACGTAATCTCGCTTTCAGTGTATCAACAGGTGCCGATATTACGTGTTCTGGTGAAGAATTCTAGTAATTCACTACTTATTGTGAGAAACGGAACTCCAGTAATTTCATCTCGGTTTCTTAACTTTCTTAGAATGTTCTCTCAGATCATCAGTCCTAGATAGAGAGGAAACATAAGACATTAGTGCCGAATTCATCGTTCAGTATACGTCAGGTCAGTATTAGGTCAGTCCGTAACCTGCGGTAATACAACAGAAATACGTTGGGACGTCTCAGTCTGTTTTCACAAAATGGGTCACAGAGACCTGTGGCGGTAAATAAATCCCCAAAATCAATAGCTCTGTAAATCTTTGACATTTGATGCTGACCATATTGTTCTTAATGGGCTCACCTAACTGAAGGCTCTGGGTCACTCATCCACACCAGATCACGAGTGGGAACGCTGTGCTCAACGTCTACAACCGCTAGCCAGTTTGGATCAGTCGCCTCTCAACATATTGATAACTTATCAAATATGTCATCGAACCCCTTCGCTTCTGACTCATAATTTCACTGGGTGGGCACGTTTCGATTATAGAAGATGTTACTGGTTGAGGTGTTGTCAAACTCTAAATAGTTGTGTCATCTTCAAACTATTGGTCACGCATTCTAGCATATCCACCTCATACCTGATGTAAGAACTAGCCGCTTGGATCCCATATTCAAAATGTGGTCTCACAAAAGTCGGGTATAATACTCCGAATATTTCTTCGTTTAAATAATGAAATGACTTACGAACAGCTCATAAGACCCAGTCTTCAGTAATAAGGATAGTAGGTTGATGAACCTGTGTTAATCCTGACACATTGCTTTCCAGTGAAGGTCCAGCTTTTCCTTGAAAGTATTCACTGATGGGGCTGATACCACTTGTTCGGGTAAGGCGTTCCAATGATTGACTACTCGATGAGAAAAACGGGATCCCACTTTAAGTTTATTAGATCGTGGTTTATGAACCTTCTTGCTATGACCTCGGAGATTATTAGTGCTGGAGGGAGCAAAAAGATAAGACATATTAACACCCAAATCATAATTAAAGATACGAAATGCCAGTATAAGGTCACCTCGTGTCCTACGATACGACAAGGGGAAAAGATTTAGGCGTTTTAAGCGCTCATCGTAAGGGAGTCTAGAAAGACCCTTCACTAATTTCGTTCCCACACGCTGGACACGCTCAAGGGAGTTAGTATCCTTTACTAGACACGGGCTAGCTGCTTGGATACAGTACTCTAAATGTGGTCTTACATATATGGGGTATAAAATTCGAAACGTTTCCTCGTCAAAAGATTTGAACGCTCGGCGAAGTGACCATAACGCACGAAAACCTTTGACAGCGGCTGCTTTGCAATGCGCAGTTGTTTTTAAGTCATGACTTAATATTACTCCTAAGTCCTTATGCTCTTGAACGCATGGAAGAGGTTTACCCTCAATAGTGTAACGGTAACTATTACCGTGACCGACGTGCATTAGTACACTCTTCCTAGCATTAATTTCTAAGCCCCACTCTCGAGCCCATCTAACTAAATCGTCTAAATCAGCTTGAAGATCCACATGATCAGCCGCACTTTTTATTGTTCTCCAGATTTTTACATCATCTGCAAACAATAATGTCGACGACCTAAGTAACAGTGGTAACTCATTAACGTAGAGAAGGAAGAGCAGAGGGCCTAAGATGGTGCCTTGGGGTACACCACTTTTGACCGGCTTCCAATCGGATAGCGTTCCATTGACCCTAACTCTCTGTCTGCGGTCACATAAGAAATTTCCTATCCACTCATGTACAGTACCTATTATTCCGAAGCTCGTGAGCTTCTGCATAAGACCTACGTGTGAAACCTTGTCAAACGCTTTGCTAAAATCTATGAATATCACGTCGACAGACAGACCGTGATCTAGGGCTGCTGTCCAATCCTCCCTCGCAATAAGCAAGTTAGTCAAGCATGAACGCTTGTTACGAAATCCGTGTTGCTCAGGAGCTAACAGATTGTGTAAATCTATGTGGCTTAGCAACCTAACCCGAATTATCTTTTCGAGTAACTTAACGACTATGCTAGTTAGACTGACAGGCCGGTAGTTAGATACTATCTGTCGCTGACCGTCCTTAAATATAGGACTAACTATAGCGTCCTTCCAATCTCTAGGGAGTTGGGCGAGTGAGAGGGACATGTTGAAGAGTGTCGCAAGCGGTTTTGAAATAATGTCCGCAAGAGATGACAGCAACCGTGGATGTAACCCGTCAGGGCCCGGTATCTTACCAGGTTTGAGGTTAGTTATCAACGGAAGGACAGTTTCCTCAGTCACCTGTACGGATTCAATGGTTGGTATCTCGGTGTGAGTGGGACAAGTATTTGTTACAATAAACGTAGAGAAGACTTCGCTAAAATAATCTGAAAAAGTCTCAGCTTTTGCTCGATCTGATTCAGCTAGTAATTCTGAATTTTCGTGTAACAGCAACGGGGGAATACCATCACTACGTTTCATTTGCCGTTTAACATACGAAAACAATCGTTTCGGACAAGTACGGCTATCATATACTAACTGTCGTTCGTAAGTGGTACGGGATTTCGCTATGGTTTTCTTACAGATATTACGGTATTTTTGATACTCACGCTTAAATGGTGCATGACCTGTCAACAAGAATAAGTCCCAGAAATGTTTCCTACGCTTTAACAGCTTCCGGGTTTCCTTATTAATCCATGGAGGGCAATGTGATAGCTTACGTGCTGACCATGGGATAAACGGCGACGTTACGGACTCGAATGTAGCCTTAAACTTATTCCATTCATCTTCGATCAATCCATCCGCGTCGACCGACCAATCGGTCGAGATAGCACGGTTTCTGATTTCCGGAATATTAGCTCGCCAGATATTGGGACGGGGTGGAGCAGATACGAATTGTATACCATGTGTCCTAAACTTAAAGTGAATTACAACGTGATCACTGTTCACTAGTGGAGGAAGGTGCTGGATATCAAAGACATCCTCAGAGTGGTGGGTGAGGGCGAGGTCCAGCAGTGACGGAACATGATGCAAATCAATATGTGTCGGTTTTGTGATACATTGTACAAGTGCACACTGAATAACGGTAGATAAAAGGTCGCTATCGAAACCGCTACCTGGAGCTGTAAGCTCTATCCAGTTGATATGCGGTGCGTTGAAGTCCCCAATGATGAGACAACATTCTGCCATACTCCAAGAACAGATGTGTCTTAGGATAAAGTCGTCAGCCAGACAAGACGGACTACGGTATATTCCCCCTATAGTCACTAACCCATTTCTAGATTTAATCTTACAACATGCAACCTCACATGTGCCACTGATATGAGCCTCCGATATGGTTGATTGTATACGAAAGTGATCCCTAACGTAAAATATTATACCTCCCCCTTGCGACTTGAAACTCTATCACTTCTGATACAGATATAACCAGCAATGAAAGGAGAACAGTCTATATCAACGGTGAACCAAGTTTCTGTAACAACGATTATATCGGGACATAATTCTTGCACCATCAGACTTAGCTCGGACGTTTTATTTCTAAGACTACGAGCGTTCGTGTAGCACACACTTAAGGTGTTTTGGAAATCAATCGTTCTACCCATACAGGCCTCGGAAGCATTGGCTTCCAAGACCCTTAAGCCTTTGGCAGCGGCAGCCTTGCAGTTACTCTTAGCCTTGCGGTCGTTGTTTATTGTGATTCCTAAATCTTTATAGTTCATTACTTTAGGTAACACAACTCCATATGTTTTGTAGTGATATAAATCACCTTGGTTATTTATTTGCATCACTACACCCTTGCTAGAGTTAACTTCTAATGACCATTTACCTATCCATTCGACCCGTGAATTTAGGTCATCCTGTAATATTATTCTGTCTGACATACTGTATACAGGTCTCCCAAATATTTATGTCATTTGCGAAGAGTAAAACGGATGACTTTGATAGAGTTGGTAAGTCATTTGCGCCCGGTAGAAAATGAAGGGGACTGAGAATCGTAATTGAGGAACCCTACTTTTAACAGATTCCCATCAACCCGTATTTACTGTTTTCTGTCATTGAGAAAGTCACTTATCCAGCTTATGATTTCATAATGGATCCAAAAACTTTTAGGTTTTAGTTTAAACCTGAGGTGAGAGACCTTTTCAAAGGCCTTACTCAGACATATGAATACTATGAAGAATGACACAGGTATTCACTGTTTGACAACGCTTCTACCAGTAACACCTAATATGATTTGTACCCACCGAGAGAAATCAAAAGACAGAGTCGAGGAGATCGGAAGAGTGTATTTGGCGATAACCAAAATATCGGAATTCTCTGATCTAATCTGGCTAGCGATTGCGGTTGATGTTGAGCACGGCGTTACCACACATGATCTAGTGCGGATGCCTGACCGAGCGCCTTCAGCTAGATGAGTCCACTAAAACATATGGTCAGCATCCAATATCGAAAACTTACAGGGCTATTTATTTTGGGGATTTATTTACCGCTACAACTACATATACCTGAATATTTCTATCTTTCGCTACAACCTGATATTCTTTTGCAATGAACAGATTTGCTAGGTGGCCAAAAAATAATTGCCTTTCGCATAATTTAGAATAGCTATCCGAACAATCTTTTCCATAGGCTTGACAACTATACTGGTTAGACTGACAGATCGACAGTTACTAACCACGTTTTTACCCCCTGCTTTATAAACCGGACTGATAATTGCGTCTTTTTAGTCTCTTGGCAGTTTAGACTGCCCCAAAGACATCAAGCAATATTGCCAGAGCTTCAGCAATTATATCTTCCAGAGCTTTTATAAACCTATAATGAATACCGTCAGAACCACCGAATTTATCTGGCTTGAGATGTAAAAGTGACCGTAAGACGGCCCCTTTCTCAATAACCGGACGATCTGTCGACCAGCCGCTTTTATTATATATAATTGTTGATCTTTTATGAGAAACCCTGCTAAAGTATTTTGATAAGCCTTCAGCTTTTGCAATATCATTTCTTGCCAATATCAATGGCCTTTCTAATACCAAAAGTGATTGCATCCCACCACTTTTCTGAATTCGCTTCTTTATATATGAGATCAATGTTTTCAGAATATTTTTGCAATCCAGGACGTTGTTTAGCCTTACTTATCAACTATTTGAATGTGTCCTTAGTCTTACAGTAGGTGTGTCTGTACTGTTCAGAACCTGTAGAGATTATGATATTCTAATGCTTTATTCACGTTCAAGATGTTTTTTGACCTCATTAGTTATCCACGGTGGGCGGTTATTAGGTCTATGTGGTATTATGAACTGTATAAATGATGACGTAACGAAGCTAAGCGTACCTCTAAATATATATCATATCCCTTCAATCGATGATGTGGTACTTACGGACCAGTCTGTTGTTGCCACGTACTCTTGTTCGGCTGTTATGCTTGCTCTCGACACGTTTGAGCGAAGTCTAACCAGATCATATACTATATCACGAGCCCTAAACATGAATGACAAAGCGTCATAATCGCTATTTGCTAACAATGAGAGAAGTTTTATATGGGCAAAGTCCTTGGTCTTATGAGCTATCACTAAGTCTAAAGAAGAAGATTCTTGGTTTAAACCAGGACTTTGGGGTTCGAATACACACTGTACTAAAGGTAGTCCATTACATTCATCAAGAGAATACTGTTGAAAGAGTTTCCTACCGTGAACATCTCTGTCCAACCAGTATCACGTCCATTCAAATATCCTAATATCACACATGTTATTTTTACTTCATACTATAATGCGCTCAAAAATAAAGTCACCAACTAAGCAGATTGGCTAAGATAGATAACATCGAGCATAAGTGAACAACCTTCAAATGTGAGTTCACAGGTAAGGACTCCACAAGTTCGGTGAGAAACAAAATAGATTTTCGCTGGTAACATTAATACCTTCTTACATTCAACTTATGTAAGTCTAATATGAACTAAGCTAGGGTTTACCTGATTAAGATTTTTAAGTAGCAGAAATAGAGATCCAACGGGCTGACTAGTACTTACTCAATTAACACCAAGTGATAAAAGTGGCAGACTTGTTGGTCGGCTTTAATACTTGTGGCTCTTTTCACAGTGAAGATTCAGCTTTTTGTTGAGGGCGCTAACCGATGGGGCTGACATAACATCTCCTGGTAAGGTGATCCAGTTATTGATAGGCTAAACAGAGACGCACCCTGAGTTTATTCGATCGCGGTATTCAAACCTTCTGCAGATAGCCTTGTTTATGTTGAGGCCCACTGATACAGAGGCTTCTGCTACATTGACTATCTTGACCAGCATTTATTGGAGTGTATGGGATAGAAGAGCTAGATCATCTGTGAATTTCAAATCATCTAGTTGCATGCAAGCTGTCCATTGTATTCTGTGCTTCTTCTGTGATATGGAGGTCTTCATAATCCGGTCAACCAATATAGTGAAGAGAAAGAGTAAACAGCCTTGCCTGACACCGGTCGTCACATGGAATGCATCTGTCAGCTGTCCGCTATGCACCACTTTGCAGTGTAGTGTGTCGTATGAATTTTGAGTGGCGTTGACGATTTAATCATCTACTCACACCATAGTGTCGAGGAAGGTTCCATATGGTTCTCCTATCCATGCTGTCAAACGCTTCCTCATATTCAATGAGCTCCACTCAACTGATTGTTCAACGACGATTCGTAGAGTTGTGATTTGGTTTGTGTACGACCGGTCCTTACGGAATCCAGCCTGTTGATCAAGAAGTTGAGCGTCTACTGAGCCTTTCATCTGGTTCAGCAACACTCTGTTTAAAACCTTTCCAGAACTGAAAGTAACCAGATTCCTCTGTAGTTTGCACATTGCTCAGATCTCCTTTGTTTGGTATCTTGACGAGGTATCCTTCTTTCCAGTCTGTCAGCACTTTTTTCTGTTCCCAAACATCCCTGAATAGAGCGTGGAGCATGTTCACAGTTACCTTTATATCTGACTTCGGTGCTTCAGCTGGTATGTTATCAGGTCCGTAAACAAGCATAGGTATTTTAAAGCAAGCTAATCAGTTAGAAAATGTTGATTTGAATTCTTAACTAGGTCACTAAATGGGAAATATATTTTTTATGCGAAAACTGAGTTACATCTACGTACTAAATATGTAAAGAACGAACAATTGTGTTTGAAAATTCACAACATAACCCAGGTTGACCACAAGTGTTATCAAAGCTAATCTATCTTTTTTCGTTAAAGGCTTTTTTGATACTCGTCTCTCTTCATATCAGTCGCTTAAGAGCTAGAAAACAGTGATAAGATATAAACGGTTTACGTTCGTTATGATATGGGTATTTCGTTAGTTATAACTATGCTTATCAATTTATAAGATAGTTTATTCATCGCCAAGACCGGTACTAATCAATTGTATCCTCGTTTTTTAGAGCTGTACAATATTTGTAAATCTTAGCTATTGACAAAAATATTATAAAGGAAGTAAAGTTGCGTATATTAAATCCAAAACAGGCTGCACTTTTCGAAAAGTGAAATTTGTACACTTTTATCGTGAGTTCTATCTTGATTTCATCAGAAACTGTATAAAGTTTGAATTTCAGCGTTTGTTATGATTAGATTGAGTAATTATCATGTTTGAACTTTAATTTCCTATGGGATTGTTCTATACCTTTTTTAATTATAACCAAGTAATTTTTCTTCATCAAACGCTGAAGTGCAAGTAAAAGTTTAAAGCAATATGGATCTAAAACTATCCTGTCTCAAGCTTCACACATTCTGTAACTGTATTAGATTGTTGACATGTTTTGCTGACAGCTAATTATTATTTATATCCCTTTTTTTAATAAATTGACAGTATGGTTATATACAATACAAGTTACCTCATCCTGTGGAGTTTTGGTACATTTTTTGGTAACGTTTATCGTTCTGTGTCAAGTAACCGGTGCAGTTTCTAAATCTGACCTCAAAAGTCTAAAATTTATCGCATCAGGACATTTCTTCACAAGTAAGTATTATGTGACCTTTTTGTATCTGGATAACGAAAATAAAAACTGAAATTAAGTCGTACAGTTATCACCTGATTACCTATTAGATAGATTACCTTTGGACTGTAGACGTAGTGGTTAGGGATTTACTACTAGATCATTTGCTAAACATAGGCACCATGGTTTATAATAATTAGTTACAAAAAACAGGTTTCATTAACATTACAACATGTCTGCTATGAAATACATTGTATTCGGGTGTGCTTACGCTTCAGCAAGAAGATGAAAGCGAACTAATAATAGTTTCTGTTGTGAAATTCACTAACTTATTAGTGATCTTGCCTCTCGGTTGAGTATTTTATAACCATACATAAGATCTAAAAGTAGACGCTTATTTAACCAATATTAATTTGGCTATGAAAAATTCACTTTTCGATGTTTATGTTACGCAAAATTCAACGATAAAATTTCTTTTTGGTTGAGATCATGAATCGATTGATGTTAGACCATCATTGAAAACCTGGAAGCACCGGACGCACGCGAACGTATAACCTCTGGACCACTGAGCCGGTATCCAACAGTGTTAATGTTTAACCTCAACCAATCCACGAAATTGCGCGAGCATCTTCCATTGTACCAAAGTGCATACCTTTCTCTACTTGACATTGATTAGCTCGATTCATGATCCCAATCAAAAACTTAATCATATCCACAACCCTATACTGGTAAAAAATTTGTTTCTCTTTTATTTTGTTCGTAAGATCTGAAGGGTCATTTAAAAACTAGAGAAAAGTAAACTACTGATCTGTACTCATTTTATTCACCTAATGACTTCAATGAGAAGAGTGAACTAAATGGGTCATGTTATTAACTGAGTGAAATATAACCTTAAAACCCTATCACAGTAGCCTGTAGAGACACGTAATTTTATACAAAGCATTTATTATCTAGTAAAAATATAGAGTTCTGTTGAAAAAAGTTTTTAAAAAAAAACTGTTAACATCTGTGATATTCATGCCTATAATTATTTAGTGGCCTTAACCATCCAAACATGTAAAGGTAAGTATTGTATGTTTTGAGGTTATGGTATAACTACATTATTTACTGCAGTAAGTGAGCAAAGGAAGGATTTAATTTTGAATTGAGATTATAAAGTTACTGAAAAGTACATATGTTTTCAAATACCAGAACTCTGAAATGATATATTTATAATAGCTCTGTGAAGACTGGTCTAATAATTATGTCATTAGAAAAATAATTCAACTTGCATTTTGTATTGGCAGGAATCATCCTGATATGAAGTGAAGTAAGAAGTTATTTATTGAAGACGCAGTGATAGAGTGTGACTGAGAAACCACAGGTTGAGAAAGGCTTGGTAATTTTGTTTTTAAATTTATTCATTCTGATTTAGATCATGATCTTGAACATAAGCGACTGAAGTGCACACTGACAAAGTGTTCTAGCAAGTATGAAAAGTGGTATAGATTAGAAAACAGGGAATCGAAATGAAAATATATTCGTTAAGTAGTGAGTCTTGACTATTCAGATGAAAGTGATTAGGAAATAACGATGATTAGTAATGCTTTACTAAGAAATAAATTGTCATTGTATCCATTCGGTATATCTTTATCAAAAACTTAGAAAAGTAGTTTCATTGACATCATGCTACTTTTTGACTACTTCATAGCTAAAATAAAATATCCATCTAAACAGTTTAAGTGTTAGTGAAATTACAAAAATTTTGTTCCAAGCGTAAGATGTAAAAGAGTTGTGTATAGCTTTTAACAAACTTTCAAAGTATTCTAAGTTGCAAGCAGACAATTCAATTTTGTAAGAAAGGAGTTATAGTGAAGTGAACGAGAACACAAGTGAGGACAATCGAATGTTTGTAAACACGAAATTACAGAATCTCTTAGTAAAATCTGAGGACCGTACAGTAAATACTTAATTTGCAAAATACCAATCAATTGTCTCAAACTTGACTGTTCCTTTGCAAATATCAGTCAATTGTTTCAGACTTCTTTGTCTTTTCGTTTCTACACTAAACATTCTTTATTCTCATCCCCTTTTCTTAATATTCTGCCTCCAGGCATTTCACTTTCGGTTGATGATATATGCTACTACAAAAGTACATACTACAACAATAGTACCAATGATAGATTTATTCAATAGGATCAACTTTTGTACAGTAAAGAATTCTCTGCGGTAGTTGCGCATTATCACAATAAATATCTCTTCAACGTATATTCAAATTTTAAATAATCCAAACATATTTTAAGGATGTTTTTTAATAATTATGGTAAAAGTGTAGTATAGAGACGAGTCAATCAAAGTTGATAAAAACGATTGTTTGATTTTGATGCGAATTCGAAAATGAATGTTAAATAAGCAGTAGAACCACCTTTGTATAGTGTTCAGAATGTTTGAGATGATAACACAAAATTATTCCTTACAGATTGTATGCAACGGCTAATAAAAAACAAATTACGTATCTTGATCGTAAGCTGTTATTACCGAAACAAAGTATAGATTAGCTGCAATGAATAAACCAGTCAGATTAAGATAAGTGCTGTTAAATGTTTGAGTGAAAATTACTCAACCATAAAGCTATAGAACACTTTTCCACCATAACTGATGTCTGTTGGTGATGAAAACCTGAACTCTGAATCCTTGACCCTGACTCTAATCGATAGCAGTGTGAGGATACTTAGAAATGTGTTTGAATCCTTATAAGGCTATGGAAGACAGATAATCTATATCCGTAAGACCAAGTTTATACCCTGTTGCTTTTTCCACTTACAGGCTGAGTCACTAGTCGATAACTTCAACAGCTCCATCAATTAGGTAAAATCTGTTAACACTATAGTATTTTTATGTTTGTTTTTTTAAACTATCAACTTACTAAAGCTGTTTTTTAATTGACCAAGAAATTGCCGAAATTCCTTCATGATTATTTTAACTTCATACTGAGGTCAGTATCTTCTACTTGCAGGCGAGACTATAATTTATGGATGAATCGATCAGATTTAAGATAACAGATCTTGCATTTTGGCGCAAAGTTAATCCACTCATTTGGCTAAATACCATTTCGGCACTATAGCTGATATCAGTTCGTGATGAAAACATTAAATCTAATTCCTAACTCTAACGTTTAACTGTAAATCCTAATTCCTCATACTAATATATGACCCTCATTCAATTCTATTGAGTAGGTGGACATCCCAAGGTTATTTTGGCGTTGCTCGAATATCGTCCATAAATTATAGTCTTACCAGTGCTTAAATATATTCCACATTATGTTAAAGAAGAAATAAGAAAAAATGAAGACTTGTCAAGAACTGCATTATTCCTGTTTGAGTTATCGAGTATTCACCATCACACAACTTGTAACCCTTTAATGGTAGCGCACGAGTACCGTTGTACTTTGGTTAGTTCAAACAAGATTAGAACAGTCTTTCTGGAATATCTGTGCAATTGGAAAGGTAGGCGACTTAAATGTTTGAGAAAACTGGCGTTAATTAGTTTTAGGTAATGTAGGAATTTTCGGTACAGTGTTGTAAAGATTGCTGAATTTCACTGAAATCACGAACCGATCTAAATTAAACAATCTTTGAAAACCTAGAAGCACTGGACAGCGAAAATAAATGAAGTTGAAACCACGACGTTAATATGAGCAAAGATATTATTGTTTTATTACTAGCACTAAGTGTAGTATACTTAAGCCAAACTAAATATACTTTTTCAAAATTATGTGTAGAGAGTAAATTTGAATAAATATAGCTTAACTTGGAAACAAGGATTGAGCCCAGGAGAAAGATCTGTTCTCGGCGACTTTATTATTAAGGCAGTTCTATCATTTATACATACACGCCTATAATTTATGATTATGCCAATTAATCGAGTATAACAAAATCGATCAACAAGCGTACTTTCATTAATATTTGCTATTTACTTACTTCTACTTGAAGTTTGTGCTGATGATATCGTTCAGAAGAACGATGAAAGCTTCGCGACCAAACCATCCAGCTCAGAGAACAAAACTCCACCAAAAAAGAAAGCTATTTACTCATATATAGAACAATAAATATATTCAAAAAGTATGGCGATCAATAATTCTTTTCGTTTGGTTGATGGCAGTACCATTATTCATCAGCTTTCTCTTGGTTGTTTGTTTAACTACTAATTCTATAATCGCTGTTCACTAACTTAAATGTCATACCTATATTGAAGAGAATATTTAGCATACGTAAAACTTCATTTCCTAAACTGTATGAAATAATTCGAGCTTTAAAAACTGTTTTTTTGACAATCGATATATTTGTCCCACTAACCGTTTTTGATTTCGAGATGGAAAACAGTACGTAATTTTATTCTCGCTCATGAATTCGCATCTTATGTGTTCGCATGTTATTTCAAAGTAAACATAAATACACACAGATTATTTCAACGTATTCTTCATTCGGCCCTCATCCTATGATGAACGCTAAGTAACTGATCTTCTTTCTTAGTAACGTAGTGTTTTGTTTCTTAATAATTTCGTCTAATAGACATGAATACGAAAGCCATAATAATACTCCTTTACACCTATTTTACTTTTCGTTCATTTGATAGTATATACTTACATAATAGTAAGTAGTTTGATTTGTGTAGTAAAAATAAGTCAAACCAGTCTTTCAGTTTACATTACTTCCATTGTCTTGAGTGCCAACATATGATTACACCGAAACTATTCACTGAAGTAACTACAAACTCAAATTTACAAAGCATTTCAAAACACGTGTATAAAATGGGTTATTTAAATTGTTAACCTGTTAAAATTGAAGAATGGAAACTAGTCGATCATTTACTACCCAAGTATCTTTATCTTCTAAAAACAAATAACTAAGAAAAACAGTTTAAATATCTAATCAAATTTACAAATAAAGTCGATGTATATAGTTGTTATCACACCTCATGTTACCGAATTTTCTACATCCACCTCAAAACGATAGTGCATGTTCATTTATGAATTTCCTAAAGCCATTTATAATAGACTATACATTAGGGTTATAGCGTATAAATGAACACACTATTGGATCATTAGGTGGTTGAATTCTGTTGTCTACCTAAATGTTGAGTCACATAGTTTAGAATATCTAAATATCTATGGAATTCAGTTAGAGCTGAGAAATAAACATCAATATTTAATTACTCTTTGCCACCTTTCATATACTGTACCCATATAACTAAAATATTTTGGAACTAATATTGTGTTGTCTCTACAACTTCTCAAATAACCTTTAACGAATTTAGCATAAATTATTTCACTCGTCCTTGTCAATATAAACAAAACGAGAACTTAATCATTTTCACTACTGACTATTTGAAAAATGTGTGATGAACAAATGTGAATAGCTATGAGGAAAAAATAGTCAATATATATAAGTGATGAGGGACGTTAGTACAGGACTAGTGGATAAGTTTGAATCTCCGTGAAAATGTCGATCAACTGAATGTTATAAATACAACTTATTGGTAAGCTCCAATAAACACGAAACCTGGTTAGGCTCATCCTATTTGCTTTTTAAAACCTTGATACATTTTTAAGTAGCACATTCAAACTTCATCTCTCTGTTAATTCAGATATGAAGACGTATTTTAAACGTCAGACTAGTCAATAATGACAAGCGTATTAGTTCGATTGTTAGATATAACACTCATGATATTGTATGTTAGATACTATCGCATCGCAGAGAATATTTATTAAAAGTACCAATATAAAACTGTCTTCACCTTCATCAGTGTAACTCACCAAGTACAGGTTTTTGTATTCGGTTGCCCACACCGTGGAAGGTTCTTCTAGTGGTTCCTGAAAAGGAAATTGGATTAGAGCTGGTATTAGTGACCTGAGAGCGTGAATACAGTGACCAAGCGACAACTGCTTGAAACCGGTCACATATGACCTTTTTGTGAGTAATTTTCTTGCTAGCCCATACTTGTTGGGAGGTGTGTGCATTTTCGAGGTTGACTTTTTCTAACCTCACTCTTCCTTGTAGGAAGACAGCATCATTGTTATGCTGGTTGTCTGGAGGAAACGCCCTACTGCTGTCACACCTCTGTACAGTCAGTAGCACGACGTCGCCCTTGGACCTCGAGTTTGTTGCTTTTAGTTTTACCGCTCTTCAACCAACTTGTCTGGGATAGTAGGACCTTGAGGAACGATTGTTCCAGCCAGTATAACCCGATCGGTTCATAATGATTGGCAAGACCGACCACTATATCAAGGGAGCAGCAACAGTTGGCTTTCAAGTTAATCCATTGGTTTTATGTGATGTCCATTTATCTATCCAATATATTCCCTTGATTATAACAAAATTGCGTGTTTTTTTCTCCTTTGTTTCTTAATTATAGGTTTAACACTAGCTGCTGCATTAGTAGCTTTTGCTGTAGCTAGATATGATAGTCGTTGGATGCCTTATCCTGAATTGAATACATTATCATGGGCTTATGCTGTTGGAGTTTTAAGTTTTATTTGTACATTTATTAGTTTTACAATAAGTTTTATTACTTATATTAATTAAATGATTTAATTCATCAACAGAATACAAATGAACATTTACTGAATGATGAAGAGAAAATGGGTATTAGTTCACCACCACCTCCAGTACCACATCAATCTACATTCAATGAACCAAATGTTTATACAGAACCACGTTATATGCCTGATTTACCACAATCAGCATTAAGTTATGTTGATAGTTCAAATAAAAATTGGAATATAAAAGATTCTGAAATTACTTATAATTTGAATAAACGAAACAAGGATGATGATGATGATGATTTTGATAATCCAACTAATTCACGTTTTAATACTCTATCTTATCCAAAAATATAATTAAAAAGAATGTTCAATTCATAATTCATTTATTTCATTGGTTACTAATCTAATAAGAACTTTGATTGATTTATATCCAAATCTTGAATAAGTTTATTTAAGTTGACCCATTTATCATAAAAAGCTGAATGTATCAAAGTACATTTTATAATAATAATAACTCAAATAGATAAATGAATATTTGAGTTTATACTCATTTTAAATTATTTCAATTTTTTTTTATTTTTAAAGAAAGTAAATTCATTTTAAATATCAATATGAGTTGTGGAGATGTGATTAGGTTTTTGATTATGATCATGAATTGATTGATGTTTGACCATTATTTGGGTCAGTCAGTCAGTAACAACGTAGAACTTCGTACGTACGTACATCAGTTCGATTTGCTATACCAAATTAGAACATAGATACAATTGTCGATTTAAATTCCTCAATGGTAGAAGTAGTAAGAGTATAAGCAGTAATCAGAAAGATTAATGTTTGAAAACGTTATTCAAAGAGTATAATACAGTGAAATAAATTTGGAAAGAGAAAAAGAAAACGGATATGAAGAATTCAGAAGATTAGAATTTGAGAGAACACAAAGAGTGGATGCACGTGTGCCATTGCAAACGATTTTGAGTCATGTAATTCAGGGCCTCTAACCATCGGTTGCTGTCATCTCGCAGTCCCCAACCAGGCAGTCTACACCTACCAACATGACTCAGTCACTTGTCAGTGACTTCATGGATTTGGTCTGAACGCCCCTAGCTTTCTTCCAATCTACTCCTATACCACTGAATACGCACGTCGAGGCAGTCGGTCGTTGGGCGTACGTAACACGTGTCCAAGCCATCTCAACTGATGAAGTTTCACTACTTCATCAATTGATTTGCCATCCTTACCTAGTACCCGTTTCCTAACAACTGCATTACTTACTCGATGGTCCCAAGATATACGAGCAATGTTTCGAAGACACCTATGATCAAATACTAGTAACCTACGAATATCCTCTACTCTTACCGGACATGTTTCACAGTCATGAAGCAGGACTGGACGAACTGTTGCACAGTAAACACGTCCTTTTGTTGATAGACGGATATCTCGCCTACGTCATAAATGATAACTTGGCAAGAGCTAGTTGAGCCTTCTGCATCCGTGCTGAGATTTCGTCACACGACAGACCACAAGGGCTGATGAGACTTCCAAGATAAGTGAAGCGGTCGACACGCTCAACTACTTCATTCCCTATTGCTAGTTCAGGTGTCGATGTAACCCAATCCTGAAGTAACATTTTGCATTTCGAGAGTGAGAATCACATCCCAAACATGCTCGCATTGTTGCCTATAGTGGTCAGAAGACTGCATTTTGTCAGCGTCTTCATCAAATAGAACTATGTCATCGGCATATTCTAAGTCAACAAGTGAGTCTCCCGGTTGAAGTTCAACCTCTGGAAATTTAGATGAGGAAAGTGTCACCTCTAAAAGCACGTTTACGATAAAGTTGAACAAGAATGGAGAGAGTGGACAGCCCTGACGAATTGCACTTGAGTTAAACAGTTCTGATTACTTGGGTTTGAATCCCGCGAGAGGGATCATGGATGCTCACTACTGAAGAATCACATAATAGGACGAAATGACTGTTCGGTACTTTCAGGTTTTCAATGGTAGTCTAACATCAGTCGATTCATGATCTCAATCAAAAACATAATTTAAATATTTTGGTCAAATGCATATTGTTATAATTAACCTGCTATTTAAATAAGATGTTATGATAATGTGTGAATTTATTCAAAACTGTTCAAAGGAATCTACATCCAATCCATAGTTTCATTTAGCTTTAGTCGTTATTTTATTTTCAAAGAGCATGCATAAAGGGTGACTTAAAGCCAATTACACACATTGTTGTATATGGCTATTGAGCATCATATGTATATGTGTCATACGATGGTTTAGTGGTTCAAGCTCTGAACATTCGATCACCAGAATACAGGTATGTAACTGTATTAATGTCTAACTTCAATCGACCAATGATCTGTTGTCTGAGTTGGATAACCATCTCATAAGCGACACTGATTGGACACCAGTGGTCATGTCTTCTCACTAGAACCCCAGGAAATCCATCTTGAAGCTAGTCACTAGTGAGTACATAGTTATTGTCAGTAAGGAAGTTGTGGACATCGCAGTACTTTTAACAATTGGATTCACGAGTCAATTTAAGCTAGATCATTGAAGTTAGACAATAACACCGTTGGATGCCGGGTAAGTGGTATAGAGGTTAAACGTCCACGAGCAAGACCGAAGGTCCTGGATTCGAGTCCCGCGTCAAGGAACGTGGGTCCCATAATAGGACGAAATGGCAGTCCGGTGACGCAAGGCTTTCAAATGTGATCTAGCTTAAATAAACTCGTGAATTTAACTGTTAAAAATACTGCAATCTCCACAACTCTCTTTATTGCATTGGGTTACTTAGGTTTCATTAGCCGTTTGGTACCACTGACGTTAACGCATCACTTATGATGGACAGTCAAGTGCACACATTTTTAATTTCATGATGAGTTATATTTAAACATATCTATGTAGTTGTGGTAAACTTTTAAATCGTAACACTTCGTAGGTAAAATCAGTTACTGTAAGACTGCAACTACACCTTGCTATAGTAAAGCTTCCTGCCAACTGCCTCCAACCACCAAAAATCAAAATATGGCCGGCGTGATGTCAGATCAATTAGAGTAGCGGTCGTATTTCACTTTGATCAAACTGAACAATCTCCATAAGCCCTCTAACTTTGTATAATTTCGATATTGTTTTTGAGGAACTGAACATTTAAAGATTCTAAAGCAATCGATCTTTATTTCTAGCATATATATGGTGTTAACAAGTTTCAACAATCTTGAAAATAGTAGTTCTTCCAATGAATGAGAGTTATAATTCATAAGCGAATCTCAAAGAATCTCTTGCTATCTGATATTCAAAACAAAAAAAACTTGTATAAAAAAAGTAAATACAGGGAAATGATTCGAAAAAGGGTATATGGTAAGACAAAGGTAATATAATTAGTTCCTCTTTGAATGTAGTTTATTTCATGGTATAAAATTAGCTGGAGATCTATTTAAAACCAGGAAGCATTGGACAACTGTTTTGTCCTAGCTTGAAACTCTTCAACAATGAATATCCAGAACTTCATAGGAAATCATAATCAACATCTTGATTATATTGTTATCATGTAACAGGTAGTATAATTTGAAATAACAGCCGATTTAGACGATACCTTAGCATTATGACTCATAAGCGCTGGTAAATGAATAAATTATTCAAAGTAATAGACTACTATCACAGCTCACTGAATTGAGAGTCAAAAGTACTTGGAGCTGAGAAAATGATTTTCTTAGATGAAAGTATATTCTGAGCTAAGATTATTAAAAGCAAAATTCTTTGTATACTGTTAAAGCTTTTAAGGACTTTTAAATAAGCAAAAAGCCGAAATTTTCTTGTCAAGTGTGTAGTATTGTGGTGTGGGTTACTTATATCCACACAAGTACTATACACCGGTGGTCAGGCATCGAATGTATTTCAGTAGAAGGTCGATAAGGAAAGAACGGGAACGGAACGCGATTGGTATGAAAATGCATGAACAATGAAATCTGAGACGATGGATTGATGTTTGCAACAGGAATAGGGAAGTTTGAGATGATGGATTGATATTTTGCAAATTAACGATTTACTATATTGTTCGCAGATTTTATTGAGATGTGGCATAGTTTAAGGCTCAGGTCCCTCGAAGCCTCAATTTTTTGGAACATGCAATAGCTCGGAATTTTATTGAAATGCTCTGTAATTTCGTGTCACATACATTCAATTGTCCCTACTGGTGTTCTTGTTCACTACAGTACCACATAAAATGATGGAATAATGAAATGATCAATACTTTAAAAACGATTACAACATAAATCATACTTGAATCATCTTTGGTTAAAAGCGATTTTGATATGTCTAAACAAGTGGAGTAATCATATTTTGATGAACCGTTGAAAGCTAGGTAACGTGGAACAGTTGACTGATTGAAGCCTAGATCTCCTTCGTGATCCAATCCTACGCGGTAATATTACATCTTCACATAACAAAACCTCATACATTTAATTATCCAAATTCTAGAACTTTTCGAAGTATTTATGAACAATGAATACATTGCCTCATACCGTGATTACTTAATAAGCTTCTAGTAAATACCAATATGTCTTTCATTCACACTCTGTTCATTATTCAATGAATTCATGGATATCTTAAATTTTATTTATAGGTAAAGCATTACGTAGAAAGATTTCTATTTAACGAAATAGACTATGCCCTAGCCAAGATCTCAGCTTACATGTCGTCATTTAAGTTACGGAGGACAAATATATGAATATCTGTTATATGTATACATTATAATTCAGTTTGGAAACCAAACATTCCTACGTCAATAGTTTTCTCATTCATATAGTGGGCCTGATATACCATAGGAAGTATATATCACAATAGGACAAGACAATAGGGCATAAGACTATAGACAAATTTTATTTAATGGTTTCTAAAAAATAACGGTTTTATTTCTGGTCAACTAACTAAAATCTTTCTGTGAGAACAGAGAGAAAAAACACTTCATTAAATCTTTTTTTTAAAAAATTATAGCCAAACAAAATAATGCATGACCTTATTTAAAGCTTGTTGAAAACACCAAATGTTCACTTGTATTCAATTGATTATGAATTTATCCAGAAAAAAATAAAGATAATTCATTCATCACTGATGAACCATTGTTTTATAATACTTCTAGGTAAACCATAAACATTAAGATAAAAAAAGAATTGGAAAGTTCCGAAGAAATATGTTTAACATTTAGTTCCTGAGAAAAAGGAAACTTCAATAAGATCCTAGTGATTCAATTGGTTCGGAAAAAAAATGATAAATATCTTTGACGCAATCAATGTTGTAATTACAGAGTAGACTAGTTTAACTAGATTGTGGTGATGATTGAGATATTACTGATATCAATGCAAATCATACTGGCTTATAGTCTAATAAGCACAATCAAATTCTTGTTTTCTGAAATAAACAATAAATGTTTACGGTCAGTTTTAACATGTGTTCATAAATGTTTAAAATACAATGATCGGTTGTTTAAATACCTCAATATACAACCTTATGACGTGCACAACAGGAAAACAGAATGATACTAGTTGCTTCATTAATAGTAAGGTTTGGGAATATTCTATAAACCAACAAATTTACTTTATTGCGCTTTTAAAATCAACCTTAAATACTTCAAAAGTATTTTGAATTTTCCTTAATAACAGAATAAACAATAATGTCGAAATTATGTGGTTGATATATAATATATATATATATATATATATATATGAATAAATTGACTGGACAATTTTTATGTCAATGCTTCAATAATCTTGTTATAATTTGTCGTTTGAATACTTATTGTCTTGACTCTTTTAATGCTACTTTTTGTATCTGGTCGTCGTTGGTTGCTATGTCGGAAACGTTTATCACTTATACTCTGAACGAGGGACCTCTGCAATTCCTACGACGCGAAAGTAAGGACACAAAGACTGGTATAAGTGATGATTTATTAACCCCAAAACACGTCCACGACGACGACTCTAGTAGAAAATACATTCATTTATATATTGATTGTACACCCATTTCGATTAATAATTATAGTGTAATCACATATATGAAAAATACTTAGAGTTATAACAAATCACAGACTGAGCATAGTTCATGTTAATGGAATACAAGAATATCGCATATTATACAGAATAAAGTATCATGCGAGGAAAGAAAAAAATACTACATTGAGTAATCATTACATTGAATCAAAACGGAATTAATCATCGACTAAACTCATAATGAGTGAATCAATCAAAAATTGACATTTCTTTCCATCATATCAAATCTTTCGATGAACTCTTTCACACTGATCCCTCTGAAGTTGCAGAAAACATTTAAGATCATACAGCGAGATCAAAATTAGAGTATAACAGATATCTCGTTGCCAGTTGGTATGACTAACGACTTACATTTTGAGAAAAACGACGACTATTATCCGCATTACTTTATCTCACCAAGTGGTAAGAATATCTGAAAATAAATAGCCCGTAATTGTGATCAATTATTATTTTTAAAAAGTATTTATGTACATTTTAATTAACAATTATGATGAAAAAGTGATTTAACAATTCATGCTGATTAATTCCATAGAAGAGTAGACTGTCCAGTGGGATTACCCAGTCCACATCACAGTAATGATCAAAACTTATAATAGAATCACTGTAAACTCATGTAATAGAGACTTAAGATTATGATCGCTAATTAAACTCGTTCCTGTCAATAACACTTAACGTTTTGTAGGATATAATTGCAATGCTTTCATTTGTGAAATATTGTTTTAAGGGCTTTTTGGTATATACGCTAATATACGTATACAATATGAAGCCGATGCTAATCTGATTTTTCACAATTGTCTTATTAGATCTCGTTTAACTGTCGGTAGTCACATGTCACCACTGGTCACTACTCGTCAGTCTGCGGTCACTCTGAGGACCGAACGTGTAGCCCACTGTTGGTGAATCACGGAGAATGGAGAATGAGTAACCTTCGTGGCATTAACCACCACACCGAGTGGTTGTGATGACAGGTAGTATGAATTTGGGAGGTGAGAATGGAGTGTGGAAGATATGAAACGCTTCACAATTTTGTGCAGGCGCCATGCTAATGTTCTCTGTATTGTTCCATTTTTAGCATATGTACCGCCAAAGCGAGTAGTGACATTTGACTGAACTGTCGAGAGTATTCTCAGAAAAAAGGCTTATTTCTTTCTTTTTTTAATTCAGTTGATATTTACCTACTCATTTTACTTTCTTGACACGCTCTTTTTGTCTACAATCCCATTAATTAATCCTGATTGTCTTCAGAAGTCTACAGTTAGTGTTACAAATCTCATTTAAATGGGATAAACCTATTTTATGAAGTTTATATTTTCTGAACACGAATTGGCTAGCCTATTGAATGTGAATGATGACCACTGGTAAATAATATTACTACGACGTTCATTGAAATACTAATAAGGACAAGAATCTTAGAAACAATCATACAACTACCGCATGGTTAATCAATATTTTCATAACATCAATCTACTGTTCTCTTGCTAATCAAATAAAATAAAACTTAATAAAACACTAAAATGCTATCATCATCATCATCATCATCATCATCATCATCATCATCATCATCATCATCATCATCATCATCATCATCATCATCATCATCATCATCATCATCATCATCATCATCATCATCATCATCATCATCATCATCATCATCATCATCATCATCATCATCATCATCATCATCATCATCATCATCATCATCATCATCATCATCATCATCATCATCATCATCATCATCATCATCATCATCATCATCATCATCATCATCATCATCATCATCATCATCATCATCATCATCATCATCATCATCATCATCATCATCATCATCATCATCATCATCATCATCATCATCATCATCATCATCATCATCATCATCATCATCATCATCATCATCATCATCATCATCATCATCATCATCATCATCATCATCATCATCATCATCATCATCATCATCATCATCATCATCATCATCATCATCATCATCATCATCATCATCATCATCATCATCATCATATCATCATCATCATCATCATCATCATCATCATCATCATCATCATCATCATCTCATCATCATCATCATCATCATCATCATCATATCATCATCATCATCATCATCATCATCATCATCATCATCATCATCATCTCATCATCATCATCATCATCATCATCATCATCATCATCATCATCATCATCATCATCATCACATCTCATCATCATCTCATCATCATCATCATCATCATCATCATCATCATCATCATCATCATCATCATCATCATCATCATCATCATCATCATCATCATCATCATCATCATCATCATCATCATCATCATCATCATCATCATCATCATCATCATCATCATCATCATCATCACATCATCATCATCATCATCATCATCATCATCATCATCATCATCATCATCATCATCATCATCATCATCATCATCATCATCATCATCATCATCATCATCATCATCATCATCATCATCATCATCATCATCATCATCATCATCATCATCATCATCATCATCATCATCATCATCATCATCATCATCATCATCATCATCATCATCATCATCATCATCATCATCATCATCATCATCATCATCATCATCATCATCATCATCATCATCATCATCATCATCATCATCATCATCATCATCATCATCATCATCATCATCATCATCATCATCATCATCATCATCATCATCATCATCATCATCATCATCATCATCATCATCATCATCATCATCATCATCATCATCATCATCATCATCATCATCATCATCATCATCATCATCATCATCATCATCATCATCATCATCATCATCATCATCATCATCATCATCATCATCATCATCATCATCATCATCATCATCATCATCATCATCATCATCATCATCATCATCATCATCATCATCATCATCATCATCATCATCATCATCATCATCATCATCATCATCATCATCATCATCATCATCATCATCATCATCATCATCATCATCATCATCATCATCATCATCATCATCATCATCATCATCATCATCATCATCATCATCATCATCATCATCATCATCATCATCATCATCATCATCATCATCATCATCATCATCATCATCATCATCATCATCATCATCATCATCATCATCATCATCATCATCATCATCATCATCATCATCATCATCATCATCATCATCATCATCATCATCATCATCATCATCATCATCATCATCATCATCATCATCATCATCATCATCATCATCATCATCATCATCATCATCATCATCATCATCATCATCATCATCATCATCATCATCATCATCATCATCATCATCATCATCATCATCATCATCATCATCATCATCATCATCATCATCATCATCATCATCATCATCATCATCATCATCATCATCATCATCATCATCATCATCATCATCATCATCATCATCATCATCATCATCATCATCATCATCATCATCATCATCATCATCATCATCATCATCATCATCATCATCATCATCATCATCATCATCATCATCATCATCATCATCATCATCATCATCATCATCATCATCATCATCATCATCATCATCATCATCATCATCATCATCATCATCATCATCATCATCATCATCATCATCATCATCATCATCATCATCATCATCATCATCATCATCATCATCATCATCATCATCATCATCATCATCATCATCATCATCATCATCATCATCATCATCATCATCATCATCATCATCATCATCATCATCATCATCATCATCATCATCATCATCATCATCATCATCATCATCATCATCATCATCATCATCATCATCATCATCATCATCATCATCATCATCATCATCATCATCATCATCATCATCATCATCATCATCATCATCATCATCATCATCATCATCATCATCATCATCATCATCATCATCATCATCATCATCATCATCATCATCATCATCATCATCATCATCATCATCATCATCATCATCATCATCATCATCATCATCATCATCATCATCATCATCATCATCATCATCATCATCATCATCATCATCATCATCATCATCATCATCATCATCATCATCATCATCATCATCATCATCATCATCATCATCATCATCATCATCATCATCATCATCATCATCATCATCATCATCATCATCATCATCATCATCATCATCATCATCATCATCATCATCATCATCATCATCATCATCATCATCATCATCATCATCATCATCATCATCATCATCATCATCATCATCATCATCATCATCATCATCATCATCATCATCATCATCATCATCATCATCATCATCATCATCATCATCATCATCATCATCATCATCATCATCATCATCATCATCATCATCATCATCATCATCATCATCATCATCATCATCATCATCATCATCATCATCATCATCATCATCATCATCATCATCATCATCATCATCATCATCATCATCATCATCATCATCATCATCATCATCATCATCATCATCATCATCATCATCATCATCATCATCATCATCATCATCATCATCATCATCATCATCATCATCATCATCATCATCATCATCATCATCATCATCATCATCATCATCATCATCATCATCATCATCATCATCATCATCATCATCATCATCATCATCATCATCATCATCATCATCATCATCATCATCATCATCATCATCATCATCATCATCATCATCATCATCATCATCATCATCATCATCATCATCATCATCATCATCATCATCATCATCATCATCATCATCATCATCATCATCATCATCATCATCATCATCATCATCATCATCATCATCATCATCATCATCATCATCATCATCATCATCATCATCATCATCATCATCATCATCATCATCATCATCATCATCATCATCATCATCATCATCATCATCATCATCATCATCATCATCATCATCATCATCATCATCATCATCATCATCATCATCATCATCATCATCATCATCATCATCATCATCATCATCATCATCATCATCATCATCATCATCATCATCATCATCATCATCATCATCATCATCATCATCATCATCATCATCATCATCATCATCATCATCATCATCATCATCATCATCATCATCATCATCATCATCATCATCATCATCATCATGTTGGATCTTTCAAAATATCTGTCAATCTGTTTATAAAAACCTTCATAGAAATAGCCCACCAATTTGTTATGTATTGCATTCATTACTGATTCTAATTAATAGACAAAAATTTCTTGAAATCGTACAAATTATCAATTATAATTGTAAAACCATTAAATGAGTAGTAATATTCAAAATAACATCATTATTTTTGGTAATTTAACATTCCACTTACTCGGTCAACATGGTTGAACTCTTGTGTGCACTATTTTGATGTTTATTATCTATAAATCAATGTTCTTTGTTGTTGTTTGTTTGTTTGTTTGACTGGGTAGTGGTATGTAAGAATCGATTTTGGTGTAGCTATTGTAAATGTAAATGAAAACATCCTCTATATATCCAGATAAACACATACACGCGTATTCGGAGAAAGAGATGCACATTGCTCATCTTGATTTCGATTGGATGATTGGAATAATAGTGAAGAGATAACATGAAATTTTTTTAAAATTTTTATGTAACTATAAACTTGAAGAATAAAATAAGATGCACATAAATTTGTTAAGAAGGCCTTTTTTTCTTTTCTTTTTTGTTGTTTCGTATCTTTGATAGTGAACTCAACAACTATTTGTTGTATGAAAGTAAAGTAAATTATTTCAATACAATACGGATTATTAGAACTAGTACTACTAGTACTACTATTACTACTGCCTTTGGCAACTATTCAATTTATAAACAGCATTCACAATCAGATATCAGAATAGAAGAATAAAAGAACTAAAATAAAAATAGGAATTTATTGAATCAACAAGATGGAAAATCGTCGTGCATTAATGAAATCTACTGATATGCAAGGACCATTACAGAAAATTGTTGTAGACACATGTGTGGTCGCTACGGAACAGTATGATGAAGAAAGAGATATTGCAGCTTATGTGAAAAAACATATGGATAAATATGATGGTGGTGTTTGGCATTGTGTATTAGGCAAGGATTTCGGATGGTAAGTCTTAGTACAGTGATAATCAATAAAATGTTTTTTTATTAACTATGTCCAAACTTGGTTTTTGTTTTCTTGAGGCAGCACTTAAACATTTTTTCTCTGTGAAATTTTAGCTTAGGATTTGCAAGTTCCAAAGATTACACAACTTTGCATAAAATACCGTGTTCTTTAATGAATTTTACACTGTGCACTGTTTTGTACATATTAAGGTATTCTGTTATGGCTTGTGACCTGTTAATAAATCATAAGATAATATCGTCAATTAGAGATATCGACTTATACGACCAGACCAATAACGCATAAAATTGTGCAAGCCGCCTATAGTTCTTTTGATCCTTTGAGATAGAAGCATCTCGGCTAACCCATCCGGTCCATTACAGACCTTAAATATCAGCCTCCGTTATATGAATCATACATTTTCAGATATACTGGGTTTATATACAAACAAACCAGACCGCGTCATACCATAAAACAGAAAATAATAATTAAACAAAATCAAGCCAAAAAGTGGCTGTGGGTGTGGGAGACTGTAGCTAATAACTTGGGAATAATAGCAGTCAACAGGACAAACAGAAGCTTATAATAAAATAAATATGAATACACATAAATATAGTTACGTAATGGTTCTACAAATAAGAATACATATAATAACAGTGCATACATAGATCTTAACAGTTACCACTCATTATTCTTCGTCCGGATATAACACATTCCTTTCCCAAAAATTATAATCTGATAACATAGAGGTGGAAATTTTAGGATTTGTTATCAATATATGGTTATATTTAGTAGCACATACATGGAAGGGTAGATCTACTTATATTAATCTTTATGACGTTACTAACAATTTATATATAGTAAAAGATTTATCAAACTTCTATCTAAGATGTACATTTACTACTTAAAATTACCGCTTCATATCCCCGTTATATTTGACTAGACCATTAAATGTTTGTTCATTAGATTTTACTTCATAAATCCCCCCATTTCTGTCATGTTTTTTCATAATGACATTCATTCATTTGTAATAAATCTTAGATATATAGTCATTAAGTTCACTTGGTATTGTTTGGCTTGTATCTTCCCATTGAGGTTTAAGACTACAATTGATCAGTCTGTTATTGACATATGTGCATACTGTGCGTATGCCTCGATATTGCCTTAATTCACAAGCTTTTTGTAAGCAAAGATGGATAGTGGCTAGCAGTGGAATTCAGGACTCGCGTTTCGTCCTATTTGGGACTCGTCAGCTGGATGTACCTGCATCTCAGAGTTGATGTTCACTCTGGGACTAGAACTCAGTACCGTTCGCTTCAAACGCCATCGCGTTATCCACTCAGCTACTGAGTCCTGATAGCCACTTGCTTGTGCAATGGGGTGAATTTAAATTCACTTGGTATTGTTTGGCTTGTATCTTCCCATTGAGGTTAAACACTGTATTGATCAGTCTGTCATTAAGTATGAAATAAAAGTTTGCAACAGATTTATTTATCTACTTTTATTTAGTTCTTAATGATGAAATATTCCACTTATGTTTAATAGTTTAGTAATGAAGTCTGAACATCACCAGTTGACATTAAAGAATACTAGGATACTATGAATATTATGATTCACTACAAGTAACAAAACTGTTGATTTACAATGATGAAGTAATACTCATCGAGTGGATATGTTGCGTAATAATTATATAATGACATATCGATTATAAATTAAATGTTCATCTGTTAACAACGTTTTTCATCGATTATTTATCATGCTTAGTTGAAATTTAATCATTAATCTGAGGTATTCTTTGAATTTAGTAGTAATAGTAGTGATATTATAGATTCTGTAATGATTTTGTTGTCTGTAATAACAATCAAGTATTAATAACTATACTATTCATTTCAATTAATAAAACTTTTTTGATTAATATCAGAAAAGAGTTTTTTGTGAATATCATAGTAATTTTAATAGTTGGGATGGATGTGCACCGCTGAGGAGAACCACAATAGGACGAAACGGCCATCCAGTGCTTCCAGGTTTTCCATGATGGTCTAGCTTCAACTGACTCCTAATCTCAACTATTGAATAAATTCGGTTCTTATTGTTGGAAAACAAAATTTCAGCTAACAAAACTAACTATTGAATTGAATGTTTAACTTGAAAATAACTGCTTAAACTTTCGGTAGAGTGAAAGTTAGTAATAAGTATGGGTTTGTATGTACTGTATTTCTGGATAAATTACACAATGAATATATATATTGCTTTAATATGAAGTTGGTTTTCTATGTCGATTGTTGCATGAGAATAACCATCCATTTCCATTGTTTAATAAAAAACCAATATCTGGTATCTTCATCCACATTTTTTTTCGTTCACTTAATGTGTTAGGGCTTCACAAAGGGAAATTTTTAATGAGGACTTCATTTTAATCGTCTATAATAAATTATATATTGTCTTATATGAAAACTGACTTGGTATATCCCAACTTATCGAATGAAAAGAAAATAGAAAGGTGAAAGTAAGAGCTTGAATGAAAATCTCAATGGGAATTATACAATTATATGCAGCATTAACTCACTAAATGAACGGAGAACTTCTAGATATTTTACACATAATAAACAGTGTAATACATATATGCTAAAAATCCTATCTTCAATCGTTTGTTTGAATCACTTATAAAAGTTAAATGAGACAACAAACAATTAATTAAGTATCAGTAAAGGGGTGTGGAGATAATTGAGCTTAGATTGATGTCATGAATGAATCGATGTTAGACCACCATTGAAAACCTAGAATCTCTAGGAGGCCGTTTTGTCCTAGTATAAGACTTCTCAGCAGTGCGCATCTACGATCTGGCACGTGGGATCCGAACCCAGTACCTTCAGCCTCGCGCACAAACGCTTACCCTCTAGACCACTGAGTCGACCCTGAGTTCGAATCCCACATGCGAGATCACGGGTCCCATACTAGGATGAAACGGCCGTCCAGTGCTTCCAGATTTTCAATAGTGGTCTAACATTGATCCATTCATGATAAGAATAAATTAAGTGTTCATTGCGCCCAAAATGGAGCTAATCTATGGTGTATTTTGCTTTACTTATTAGATCACAGTAATATCTAGTGGACTGAATATAATTCTTTTGTTAATCTAATTGTTTTGTAGATTATGTCACGACAAACTATCTAAAAATCCTATTCCTTTAACAAAGCAAACGTTAGACAGCCCTGTATAAAACAAGCATTATACTACAAAATGATAGCTAATTTTATTATCATCCATTTACCGCGACATTCAAAAGTAAAGAACAAAGATTATTTACCAATTTTATTATCTCTTTCCACGTTTGTCAATTATCTGCACTAAAAAGAAACAAATAACTTGCATATCGATCAATGTCAAGTTCCATCAACCAATTCAGGATTACATAAAACTATCAAGACATTTTCTAGAGCATTTTAGACTGTTCGAGAAAAACTCAGACCACATATTGACTGGAACATTTGCTGATACATCAGTAAATAAAAACTGCTTGTGATTGGCTGTTATTGTTTAGGGATAAAATTAAACGCTATCAATTAGACATTCAGTTTTCTATCACTGAATTTGACATAAAACTTCAAAGCAGTAAAATCACTGACGTCTAACTGCGTAACATATTTTTATCATTTGAATGACAAATTAAAAACATGAAGTTCAGTCAAGGGATCTCTTTTCAACGAATTTATTATCAGGTTGTACAATCGTATATATATGAAATTTGTTGAGGACGTTAGATCCCCAGAACTCACTTGGAAAAGGTCCTAATTTTATAATTTTATTCTGAAAATTTGAATTCTATGTTTTCGCGTCAAGAGACGCTAAATTGACCTACAGCTAGCATTTCCCACTCTGAAATCTTCGACTATCATTGGTTGACGGATTTTTTAGTACTTTATTTTGTGGCTCTTTCAGGGACGTTTCTATTATTGAATAAATAAGCTTGATTTGTGTGCTTAGTCACATCGTCTTTTCTAGGTATTTATAGAATACATTCTGTACACCTCATCAAGACTTGTTGATTTAGTTAGTAGGGCCGGGGACAACGGATTAAAATAGCTTATCGTGTCCCTGTATCT